ATGATATTATATAACTTTGTTGACAAAATAATTATGCTTATAGATTTTAATTTTTTTGTTTATTTGGTATGGTTGTGAATATTTTAAAATTTTATTTTAAGATTTCTATATCCTTTCTAATTTTGTTTTCTAATATATATCGTATATTTTGTTTTCTCACTCGCATTTTATTTTTCTTAATTAAAATTTTTATTAGTTAAATTTTCTATATTTTCTCTTCATTTTTTTTTGTTTTTATCGGTTTATACTCTCTATTTTTGTTTCTTAATTTACTTTATAGTCAGTTTGAACTATTAGAATTTCAGATTTCATTTTTTTTGTTTTTTCGGTATGGTTGTGAATATCTTAAAATTTTAAATTAAGATTTCCATATCCTCTCAATTTTTTTTTTCTAATATATATCGTCTCTTTTTTTTTCTCATTCGCATTTTATTTTGTTTTAATTAAAATTTTTATTAGTTAAATTTTGGAGAAATTGCAAAAATGCCATTTTTATGTGCACATTTGCAAAAATGTCATTTATGGGTGTTCATTTGCAAAAATATCACTAATTATAGATTTTTAAACCCTATATCTTAAAATTCTAAACACTAAAAAATGTTTTGACCCCTAAACCTCCTTAAACCGTCATAACTAAACCCTAATAGAACATAATTAACCCAAACATAAATAGTATAAAGAAAAAATAATTTTGAAAAAGCGGCATTTTTGTAAAGATTTCAAAAGTGTGATATTTTTGTAAAGTGGCACTTGAAAAATGGCATTTTTTGAAATTTCTCTTAAATTTTCAATATTTTCTCTTCATTTTTTTTTTGTTTTTAACGGTTTATACTCTCTATTTTTTTCTTAATTTACTTTATAGTTAGTTTGAACTATTATAATTTTTTTACCTAGCTAGTTTCGACTATTATAAATTTTTTTTTTCATTATTAGTTTGAAATATAAGAAAATTTTACTTTTTACTATTTGAATTGTTACTTGATAATTATTTTATTCATTTCTATTTTTTTTATATGATTAATGTTAAATTAGCATCAGCTACATGTCGCGATCAGGTGAATTAGAATTTTGCTTACTTGTCGCGTTCTGATCGTGCGCATCCTCGTTTATATAATAAGATAAGATAGGTCGATGCGTCAAACTTTGTAATTAACACGATCATGACACGTGGCAATTAAACGATCGGATTTAGACTACTGCAATTTTTTTGTTTCCAATTAGATGTTGATGTGTCATACAAATCT